GGGGCCCGCGCGGAGCTCTGATAGGCTGGCGGTTGATTGACAGTAGGAGCAGCCAATGAGCGTGAAGGCGCCAGCAGCGCCATTTTGTTCGTCGTGAGGGCCGGGGTAGCCGAGGCGCGGTGCCGGGGTAGCCGAGGCGCTGTGCCGGGGAAGGAGCCGTGGAAGGAGCCGTGGAGCGGGGCTCGGGCCAGGCTGTCCGGCGGGAAGGAGGTGCGGAGTGCGGCCACACCGCCGAGCTGCTGGACTGGAGGGGAGCAGCAGCCTTCGGGCGGGGCGGTGCTTCCTGAGGGAGGGAACCATGCAGATCCTCCCAGAGCTCTGTCAGTGTCTGTGGGTGTTGGAAGAGCGCCAGGGCAGCGGAGGACAGCAGATATTTAGATCCAAACAATAACCTCTGGAGAAGAGTGATACTTTGGGGAAAACCTATACAGAACTTGAAGTGCATTAATGGCCCTTCTGGAGAAGGTGTAAAATGTTCGCCTTAATTTGCACGGGGTTTAAATGGCCTCATGCGTTGTTTCCCCCTTGCAGCCCCTCAGGCTGAGGCAGGCACTGAGCTCTTCCCAGGCAGCAGCAGCAGCCGCCGGTCAGCGGGAGGTGGGTGATGTTCACAGCAGCCTGTCACAGGCAGGTCTGAGCTGAGGCCTCGAGGTGGAAACCTTTGAAATAGGCTGTGAGAACTAATAAAGTGGAGCTGTTTGATCTCTAATGTGATGAGTGGCTGCCGTGGGCTGTTCTCCCCGTGGAGAATCTGCATGAGAAGCCAGTCACACCACTGACTGTTGGTTAAGTAATTCATGGGTTCCTCCTACAAACCTGATCAGAAAGTTGTATTATGTCCTTGTACAAAAATGATCTGCTAGGAGGAAGTGCAGTAAAATTGAAGTGTCTTGGAAGTAAATCTATGGGATGTGTTTCTAATGCACCTTGAACTTACAGGTAAATAATTCTGATCCTCTGTTTATTAATAATAGTTGAAATAGATGTAGCAAACTATATAGCAAAAGTTTATCACATAAGTTTTTCAGAATACAAAAAACATCAAATGTTTGTGGTTAAAACATTAGGGTAAAAGTATTTTTTAATCAGCTTTAGTGGCTTGAGTTACAGCTGAAGGTGACATGAGTTGGTCTCTTGAGATCTCACCTTACGATGTGCGGCTTAACATGGAGCGGGGAGCAGGAGTCTGAGTGCAGGTTGTTTTATGGCAGTGAGCAGGCTGGTTCAGTTATGGAGTTGCAGAGGTCCATCTTAATCAACAGCTTGTGTGGCAGAAGTGACGATTTTTAGGAAAGTGCTGCAGTGTTTAAGAGGGAATTGCAGCCACACTGGGCTCTGAGGCTCCAGAAGGTGCAGAAGAGATGAGACTTGCAGGCTGCCAGCTCTGAGCAGAAGCCCTCCTCGTGCTGAGCACAGTTAGAGTGTGCCATGAAAACATCCAAGCTGTGTGTTTAAACTCCCTGCTGTGAGCGTCTGTTCATGCACGGAGCTGGCAGTGTGAGGGGGAAAGGGGGCCTTGGAGCCACATTCGTAAATGTCATTTGGGAGGGGACACTGGAATGACTCCTGATGCAGTTTTCTGTTGTGGCTGGTCAGTTTATGCCACACAGGGAAAAGAAAACTGCTGTGCGGATTTTATTCAATTGCTGTGCCTGAGAAAGGCTAGTAAAGGACACGCTGAGATGGCAGTGCTGTGTCACTGTCAGCTGTCATGGTGTAAGCAAAAGGGGTTTATCAGTTCTTTAAAGAACACCACAGCAAACTACTGTGGTTTTGGCACACGTCTTGGCTGCCTGGAAAACAGGGGAGTGATCTAATGCCTTCTGTGTCCTGGAGGCTTGGCTAGCTTTGAGAAGTGGTTTGATGGTAATTAATACTGGTGCACCAGAGAGAATGGGTGGGGAAGGGAAGAGCAGGAGGATGAAGGCTGCCTGCTTGCAGAATTGTAGATGACATGGCTGCTGCTTGTGGACATGAACAGCAAACTAGAGCTCCTGGGTGCCCCCAGGTTCAGCATTACAGGAGTAGCCTGAACTCTGAATGTCTTTAGAAGTTGCTGCACATTCCCATGGTTAGCACAGAGTGAGGAGACGAATATTTACTGTAACTGGAAAGTTCTAAATTCCATTCAAGTTTTTATTCATTTGATCTCAGAGAGAATAGTTTAATGTACAGACAGAAGTTACATGTCTTCTACATGTAACTGCATCTTTCTCAAAGCTGCATAGTTCTTTAAACCCAGGAAAACTGGCCTGAGCAGCTCAAACCCCTGTCCAGATTGCTTGCTTTGTGCTGGATGCACGAGTCCTGTGGCTGCCTCAAGACTTGCAGTATTGGCAGTATAAGAGTTTGTGTGGAACTGCTTTGCAGGGCAACATAATTGGATTTAATAAGCTGTATTTTGTCATCTTGCCCTGGTTCCTGGTTTAGCCTTCCCCCTTCCACTGTAATCCAAAGTTACCCAGATTAAAAAAAAAAAAAAAAAAAAAAAAAGTCCCTTTGAATGAATCAGAACCAGCAGAGCGCCAAGCCTGCCTTTACTGCAGGCAGGAAATCCCACCTTTGGTGTGTGCCAGCACCTAAGCAAAGGGGAAGATGGAAGTGTTATTTATGCAGGGTATGTGACCCTTTTTTGGGATCTAAAGGCCTTTTTAGGATTTTGCCTCATGTTCATGCCTGGAGCAAGAAAGAGCCTTTTGTTGTAACTTTAACAAGAGTACACACAGGCTTTTTACAGCATTGCAAATAAATGTGCTGGAATGTGTAGCCCAATGTGAAGATGAATTCAGGGCCCTGAAAGCAGTGGCAGCTCCAGTTTCTTTCAGTTGACTCCACCAAGGATTGGGGTCACAAAAGAGAAGGATAATTTACAGCTCAGCAAATGGGAAAAACTCTTTCTAGCTGACTTGCTGGAATTCAACCCTGCAGCAAACCACCAAAGTCAGCATTATGTCGTGAGCAATTAAGTGAGGTGACACTTCTTGCAGAAAGAGGGGTGCTCTTTTGGGCAGGTTTATAGATGTAGCAGTTCTTTGCACATGGAAGTTACAGGCTGGCTTGTTAGTTACTTAACATCACACTTGGGCATCAGTCAATCAGTATTTTTTTCCTGCTTCCTCTGTAATCAAATACACTTTTCCAAGGTGATGCTGCTTGCAGCAAGGTAAATGGGACATCTTGCTTGTTAAGCAGATGGTTCCTTCTGCATGGATCCCTTCGGTGCTGTGCCAGCAGGGATGGGGCAGTCAAGCAGTGTTGGGGAGGGCCTGAGATGAAGGAGCTTTCTGCTGCAGATTTCACTGTGTGCATTCAGCTGCAGATTAATAGTGAGAGGCACTGCAGGCTGAAGGAAAAGTAGATGGACTTGTTATTTCTTGGTTTGCAGGGGGTGTGGGGAGGGCAGGGGCCACAAATCACAGCTTCCCTGTTCTTCCAAGCAAGATACTCTGTAACTGCCTCGGCAAAGTTAGCTTAGCTAAGGCAGGACTGGAGTAAAACTGAGTAGGAGATGCCAGGCATTTTCTCAGTGAGGAAAGAAGGATGTGCCAACGTCCTTTGCCAGTCTAGGCCCACTGATGTGAGCTTCTCCCATGTCCCACTCCCAAATGTGCCCCTCTCCCATTCCTGCAAGGCCACAGAATGCCTGCCGGCTCCTGGAGTGGGCCCAGCTCGCTTTGAACTGTCGCTGACCAGCAGTTGCCAGGCTGCTGCTGAGCTGACAGCCTTCTCAGCACCTCAGAGATGATAATCCCGAGGCAGCTTTTGGAATGACCTCTTAGTGAGCCAGCTAACATCAGGCATGAGCACACACGGGCGTTATGCTAATACAGTAGGTAAGACTGACTTCAGTTTCAGTTAAGTGTTAATGATGTTTTCTTAAGCAACTCTCTTCAGTTCTTTGTGGATCTTACTTGCTAAATATTTGATACAGCTCTAAATTTTAACCAATGTGTTTGGTACAGGTGTCCCTGAGTAGCTCTTTGTGCATTACTGACTTGCTTGCAGTACGCCAGCAGACTGGGCTGGCTGCACATTGGCCTGTTGAGGGCAAAAGTCTCACACCAAGTCCTGGTCCAGTTATCATACATTCTAAGCTCTGGGATTTCATATATCTCATTTCATTAAGAGCAGTCTCAGTTATAGTCAGTCATAACAGTTTCTAATCCCTTCTCAAGTCTGATCTCCTCTGAATTTGATTAATGACCTTTGCACTCAGACTTCAATTTAGCATTTCAAGACCAGAAAAACACTTCTAAGAAAAGTACAGACTATATATTCACTGACTTCTCTTCTAGAGTACAGTTTCTGGGTTCCAGGCTGGACATATGTGTATATTCCAGTAAATCTTGCCATGAGTTGCAACCTCAAGCAAACAACACCAGCCACACAATTGTCATGCCCACAGTGGCTCCGGACAAGGAAATTGCTTGGATTTGCTTTGGACCTCAGAGGACAAACTGGGACCAAGGAATTTAAGAAACACAGTGAAATCAGAGGGGTGGAGAGAACTTTGAAAGAACCTTACTTGTTCTTTATGTGTATAATTAATCTTTTAAGAAAATAAACATCCAGTTTTTCTAATTAGCTAAATACTGGGAATTGTCCAGATTTCTTTTTGGAGTGAAACTTGCCTTCCTGGCTGATTATGGCTATTGCAGCCTTCTCTGGGCTTTTCTGGTACTGCTTCCAAGGCAAACTCCCAGAGGTACTTGCAGCAGCCCTCGTAAGTTGAAATCCAGTAATGCTGTATTCACTTTCACCTCTGTGAAGGAATGCATTCTGCTTGTTCCAGCATAAATGTGCTTTATGCTTGCACCTCCAGGTCATCTCTGCTAACACTGCAGCCTTCGGGAGCCTGTCTTTCCTTTCTGCTAAACCTGTTACCTGACTCAGGCAGAATGGACCTCTGTGGTTTGGCATCCCAGGCTTCAGGACCCCCTTGGAGGCCGTTTGCTCACTGTAACCAACCCCCCCAACCAATCATTAGGCCAGAATTCGTGTTTACAGAGATAAGTCTTTATTGGAGCTAGTGGAAGCAATGGGGCATGGTTCCAGTTTTATATACAGAGAAGTCTGTAGCGTTGGGTTACAACCAGTGGAAATGACCCGAGATTACAGTGCAGATCGTGTTGTGTACAGTCAGTAACAGTGGCTGGCATACAAACCACAGCACAGAAGCCAAATGAAGCCAAGTGTACGGGGTACAGCAGCACAGGAGGAAGCAACTGAAGCTACAAAGAGCGTTCCCTTTACATCTGTACGCTTTTTTTGGCTAGTGAGTAGATACAGCTCAATTTAAAACTCACTGTGCAGTTATTTTTCTTCCCACTCAACTGCTACCAAATTAAGAAAATTTGAATGTTCAAATTACATTTTTAGTGCTATAGATAGCCATGGTTGTTGCCAAATTACTTTATTTGAAATTGCTTTATTTATAGTTGGGAATAGTTCAGTCATCATTGTTCTCTAGTGATTACAAATTGGGAGAAAACGGAAGTATTCTGAAAGTAGTCTGTAATTAGACCACAAGGATCTCTTGTACTTCATTTGGAAGTTTAATTCTGGGTAACTTCTTTGAGAGAGATTTATTAGGAGGAAAGATGGAATCGTCCACCATATTACTCATTTGTGGAATTCATTCCTAGTGTTTAAGGTTTAGATAGTTTATCGGTCATACTTCTTTTTATTCAATGCCATATCCAGTCTTAGTTCATAAATAAACACTCCATCCTCTGTGGATAAATAAATCCATGTCTTGGCTGCAGGTCAGACCTCTATTGGTGAAAGAGATTTAGAAAAATAGACCTTTTCTTTAACGTTTAATACGCTGACTCACAAAGGAAAAGTGAAATTCATTCAAGTCTAGAAACAAATACAGTACAAGTGATTTATAGAATAGCATTCCTTCCCTCTACAAACTTGCTGAGCATGAAACACTGCCCCAAAGCACTGCCTCTGTCTTTGCCTTGTCTTGGAGAAGTAATTATTATCAGAAAATCACATCAGACTGCACTGCCAGTTTTCCTGTCAGAAGGGTTCTGCCTCCTGAGGAGTCTTTGCTTAGGAATTCTTTGGATGCATGGATGGTGGTGGTTAGGGTTACACAAAGGTGATATTTTAGCCCAAATTAGCAGCAATTTGAATTGATTTGGCTGATGACAATTTTTGGTGGGTGGAAATTCAGCCATTAAAAAAAAGCCTGTCAGTTGGCCTTGGAAAGCACCACCCTTTCCTCAAAATCTCCACTTCTGAGACTGCTTCCCACTGATGCCCTTCAACAAGGGACTGATACATTTGGCAGTACAGGTTTCATGCTCAACTTTGTCACTAAGAACTGGACAGGACTTTAAAAAGCATACAGCCCACTGGGACTTGCTCTGCTGTAGTACTTCAGTGCTTTGGAGAGCCCCCACCCCCAGCAGTGTTGCTCTCAGAAGTGCAAGTGTCCCAGCCTGGCTCTGGGGCAGCTGGAGGACGGTGACATTCCGGAGTGGAAGCAGTAGTTAAGCACCAGTTACTGGCCCCTGCAGAGGCTCAAGAGAACAGAATTGCTTCGTAGAGAGCTGGTCGGCCTAAAAAGCTTAGTCAGTTTGATCAATAAATATTGACTTAGGGTTAGGATGAGAAATAAGACACTGCACCTTGGAACTGGAAGACAGAGTCAACTTCCTCCTTTTTCTGTCCAAAAGGAGACTAGCTCCAAAACATTTGTCCTTAAGGACCTCTGTGATGCCTGACAGATAACTCATTATGCGTGTATGAATGTACCTGTCCCCTTTTGCAGGGAAGGGTAAATGTGTGACTGGACAAAGCTTGGAGGCTTTTTTCTGTGATATTTTTTTTTCAACCATCTGCTCTGTGTCATGTTGTCCCTGAAGGCATGGTTACCCACTCCTAAATTATGCAGCATTGCCCAGAGAATGGCTCTGTAGTTGAATATGCTCTCTGCAGTACAGCCTCCCTTTTCTTACAGTGTGTGTGGATTTCCACACCATAGAAGTTATTAGAAAACTACACCTGTCTTTAGCCTGTTATTTTGAGCAGGGTAACAGTGATATGAGTTTAAAAACACAGGAAAGAATCTGTACTGCAAATCAGAATTTTTATAATTAAATTCGTAGGATCACTAACTTTTCAAAAGCTGTACTGCTCAGAATGCTGTTCTCTAGCCCACCGTTATTCTCCTTTGAGCAGAATGACTTTCCATCTGCTTAGAAACAGTTCTTTGTGAAAATAATGACAGAAGAATAAATACTGTCTCTCTTACTCTTGACTTTGTTATTTTACAGGACACCCTTACAAGACTCACATTCTGTTGGGAGTGCAGCAATACACACATTTCAGTATGCATAGATCATTAAATTGCAGCAGTGCCAGTAATAAAGCAAAACTTGCCAAGATGTCCTGTTCCTCTTAATTAAGCTTGACTGATGTGTGCCTGTTGACTTAAGATGCAGTTAGTGTCCACTGCTGAGATGATGCAGTACCCTGAGTAATTTGTATTGATTACACTTACGCAAGCTTGTGCTTTTGCAAGAACACAGAAATGAAACTCCAAGAAAATAAAGAAGTACCTCAGGTTGTTTCCATGGAACACTTAATCTATTCATAGCAGCTTCAAATTATGAAGTTAAAACTTACCTTCTGCTCTACTCCCATTGAAACAGATGAGTGCTATGATTAACTCCCCTTTAGCTTAAAAAATAGAAGTGGTTAGAATGTCCAAATACACTTTGCTGGTAAGATGAACCTACTTTGTCATAAGGAGTTACACCGATATTGGTCACCTAAAATGTGTACATTACACAGGTCACTGTGGGAGCAGTATCTGCTTTCCCTTGTTTCCATACTCCTTTGTGTAAAGGCAGCTTGTCTAGAATACTGTGGGTATTGCAGAAATAACTAACTACTATTCCTTCTGAGGAAATTATTATTATTCCTTTTCCTCCCAAAATTCAACTACATGCTCTATACGCTGTCTGGAACTATCTCCCTGTTTTTGGGTAGGACCGCATCAGGAAACAAAATTTGTCCGTTGGATTTCTCACATTCCTCCTCTGGAAAACCAGCAATCCTGGACTTGTTTACTGAACAGAAAAAATAAATTCATCTCCTTTAGCAACATCATTAGCAGCTTTTAGCCTGCTTAAACCTCTTATGTGATTTCTCACAAACTACTGACAAAGCAATCCCAGCTCCCCCTGCTCACAGCACACAAGGCTTTCCCCAGCACACATAAACTTCCTGGCTTTACCACAGACTATCTTAATGGACTTGGAAAAGGCAGTGCAACTTTCCCTTCAACTTCTATCTATGATGCTCTAACCTCTAAAACTGGAGGACATTTTCTTCATTGTTTGTCTTTTGTCTCTCTTGCCAGAACCAGATGCACTCAGAAATCCTTTGTTCACGCTGATGCTGCAAAAGCCTCATGAACTGCAAAGCAGCATAAGGCAGCTGGAGCTTCCAGATCCTGGTTAGAGGTATGAATGAGGCTTAAGTTTAATCAATTAAAAATTAACTGCAGCTTTTACTCATTCCAACTCTCTTGCGCTAACCAATGAAGGATAGCCCGTTACATTCAATTAATGCCTTTTGAAATTAAGTGTTATTTATTCTACTAGAGATAACAGTCCGGAGGTTTTCGCAAACATGCAGTTCTGGCTGGTGAGAAAACATTTGGAAGTTGTTTACTTATAAAGCATAGAAGAGACTGCAGCTTTAATTATCTTACTGCCCCAAACCTTTGAATTTAGAAATCAGATAAATTCAGTCTCAGGTAAATTCAGTCCCTACAGTTAAAAATTTTAAATGCTCTTTACATTCTTGTAACTCTCACTTCTTGGTGGATTATTAATTAAACATAGAAGAGTACTGCCCCTGAGAAGGCTTCAGTCTGTACAGACTAGGCTAGATGGGTTCTTTTCAAGTACACAACTACTAAACTACCTGTGGTACAGTATATATGACCTTAAATTGTACAGAGTTAAGGCACCAAATACAAGATAAAACAACATCCAAAATAAGAGATATGCTTTAGAACTGCACATCTCCACACACCACTTTTGGACATTCAGCTCCTCAAAAACATCAAGGTAAACAATGTGGTCTGAATGTTTCATGCAATCTCAGGAACTTGAGAAAAAAAACCACTTTCCTGAATTTAAACCTTACTGTCTGATGAACTTTTCTCTTACCTAACTCACAACACTGATAGTAAAGCACTGCTTTGCCTACACAGCATCAGACCGGTGTGGGAGGAAGAGCCCCCTTTCTCCTAGGAAACCCCAGAGAGAGGAGCAGACAGAGGAATAGGCAGATGTGTCCTACTTGTGCTTTTGTATTATCTCACATATCAGTTACAAACCAACAAGTGAATTCCATATCTATGAGCAGAAAAGGCAAGCACGCCAGTACCTGGACATGAATAGGTGTGAATTCAGATGACACAAATAAAGCTAAGAAGGCATCGCTCTGGGTTAAGCAATAAAACAGTTCAGTGGTGACAATTCTCTTAATGCCAAATACTGAACCACTAGATTAAATGGTTTATGTTCAAAAGAAAGTGCATGTGAAACTGCTGCTGTGGTCCATAGGCACAGGACTTCAGTGCTGGGTTTCTCTGGTGAAGTGCTCTAAAATGACTTTAGCAGAATTTCCACTTCCAGTGGAATGAAACCAACAAGTTGTTAGACAAGCTGTCTCCTGTATTAAGACAGCAGATTCAGCTACCCTGTGTCTTTGCTCTGCTTTAAACAAGTCAATAAAGTACCTAATTTTTCACTGGATTATTCAGCAGGAAGCCCAAGAGGGTCTGTGTGCTGAACATTTGAGCTGAGTTACTGTTTTTTGAGACAGAACAGCCATTCCCAGAGCTCCTCAGTGTGCCCAGCACAGAGCTCATTTTCATTCTTTTGATGCCAGAGAGGCAAGGTCTTAGCTTCATGACTGAGAACAACAATCTGAATTTCATGTTTACACATCTCATCATGTGTCCAAAGGAATACACAGCAGCAGAGCTCCTGTGCTGTTTCCCAGAGCCACTGGAAATAGGAGCTGTTTTTGTAAGCTGCTTTGTGACTTGGAACTCAGTGAGGCTGGGACATAGTTTTGCCTTCACGAAGTAAGAGGCAACTGTCTTAGAATTTAGCTAAAGGCAAGAAGTTCTGAGTGAGTATATCTTGGTATACCAAGCACAAGAGGCAGAAGGAAACTTGTAATTTTGTCTGAGTAAAGACTGAAATAGTGTCTTGCCATTTACACGGATTTGGAGAGATGTTCAGCTATCCCACTTCTAGAGTGGCTCAGAAGTACAGATGCAGAATTACAAATTAAGCAAGGAACTTTATTTCAGGGAGTTGGTGGCAGAAAAAACAGGGAGTGCCACTCTCACTCTCCAAGGGACATTGTCAGGACTGGATAAGAGATGGTACGTTAAAGCTGCTCACAATTATTGCTGTCTTGGAGATAAAGAAGTGACAAGAGAATGATGTAGCATAGCTGAACAGCCAAAAACCAGAAGATTCTCTTTCCTAGATTTGAAAAATCTTCATGCCCCTCCTCTTGCATTTTCTACATCCTAATAATCTAAGGAACTTCTTGTCAGGGAAATTGTTCTCAATAGCTCAATGAAACCAGAAAGCTTCAAATAATTTAGATTTGTGCACTTTTCCCCAGTTAAGTTCTTTCAGGGGCTTGAGGGCACAGATTTTTGTTAAGACACACTTTAAATCTTTTTTTCCTACCAGAAGGCAAGTGTTTTCAAAGAAAGAATCCTTGTCTCCAGAGAGGAGAAATACTGGGGCAGTTTTCAGATCTTTGTTAATGAGCAGAAATAGTCCTCTGGCACATGAATAAGTTGAAATATTTGTAGGAAAACTGGTTTCTCTGAAGTGCTTCACAGTCTGATTAAAAGTTTTTAAGAATCTAGATACTTACATGTAACAATTTCATAATTTGAGAGAATCAGTTATTTCCTAGGATTCTAGAAGATGATCAGAAAAGGCAGGGCAGGAGGACAGACTTCACAGAAGCAAAGGTATTTAACAGCAGTGAAAGTCGTGGCAGCAGCATTTACAGCACATTAAGTGGGGAGCCATGACAATTGCTGAATCATCTAATTAGCTCACACTGGCTACACAACAGCAAATTAGACAGATTAGGAACCACCTACCCAGGCACTAAATTGCCTTTGCGAGGGTTGGATTGTGCACTGTGTCCAACAGAAATTGCTTGGGCAACCGAGGCCTCGTGTTACACATTCCCTTCAGGAGCATAGGCTGGCCTCCCTCCATCCAACTGGCGAAACGCCCAGGAATAAGGTCACTGTGTTCCAGCTCCTGAATGTGTGCTTAAGGAAGACAGCAAGCACTGGCAGAGGGAGAACACGATGGCAGGAAGCACCACATATCATGCTTTGGAGCTAGCCAAGCCCTCCAAGCCACTCTGATTACTCTAAACCCTTCTCTAGGTAGAGCCTTCCGGGAGGAATCTCTTGTGGCTGACAAAGTAGGACTGAAGCAGACCCCTAAGCTCACGGGTATGACTGCAAAGTCAGTGGTGATGCCATTCATTTCCAGTATAGAGAACCCACTGAACAGTTTGGTTCTTCATTGTACATCTCCGTTTTTTAATCCTTTAAGTGCCAGACACCATCTCCCAAAATACACATGATCATCTGGTTAGCTAAAACTAGCATTAAGGTGGGTAGTGTATAGGCACAGACTTTCCCTGATCTCCTATTTATAGCTGTACTAATTGAAAGGAACTTTTCAGATTTCTTTTCCATGAACCAGGAATTTGAACTGTAAAATACCATTTCTGCTCCACTGAAAAGGTACTCCAGAATTGGTAACGCTACTGGCAGCTGCACAGAGCATACACAACCAGATTTATGTGTTTGGCTCTTGGATACATACAGAAATGCAAAGCTCAGTAGCTGTAACACAGACCTCCAACCTCACAGAAAAGGCAGTTCAGACCAAGCTCCTGTGAGGAGGCTTTTAAAAGGAAACCTAAAAGTATTATGCAGAAGAAATGAGTTTCTACTTCTGCTTTAGCAAAACCATGCTTGTTGCAACACTGATGAAGCAGATGTTACCCAGATTACTCATCAGATAATAGCCTGATACTAGGCTAAAACCTACTGATGGAATTGGCTGCTCTCTCAAACATGAATCCATCAGGCACTTCAGAGCCTACTCTGTGACCCTTCAATACATGGGGCTATTTTGCTCAAGTTCCACATGAATGAGAGGGGTTCCCAGGCAGTCATGCACCTTACGGTCCTATCTCTGATTCCAGGTGGCTGCAGAACCCAGATTTAGGAGTCTTAGTGTGTTTCATATATCAGAAAAGCATTTTCTCCTACTGAAAAGGGAGGCAGCAAAGGCAAGGGGCTATCTCCGACATAAATACTGCAAAGCTTTACTGCATTACAAACAGCAGGGTATTAGAGAAATCAAGAGAAAAAAGATGCAAGAAACTTGAGATAATTAAAAAAAAAACAGGAGAGTGGAAAGCTTAGTATTTTAAGAGTTAAAAAGAGTGATAACAGAAAAATACAGAAATTCACAGTTAAAGCAATTCTGCTGGAAAGAAATACACATGGATTAAGCTGCCAAATACAGTTCACAAAGATGCAGATCAAATGAGAGTCAGCAAGATGTTTATTATCAGTCCTTGAAGTGGACAGTTCTTGTCAGGCTGACAGCAGTTAAGCTTAGGAAAGGAATATTCAGGAGAAGTTCATTATAATGCACCTTGATGCATATAATATCCTATCTGAAGGAGCAGAGCAGCCTGCTGCTCCACGATCAGCACTGCTGGGCCTGCCAGGCTTAAAAAGGGACTGAACTGTAGATGAGCTGCAGATCCAGCCCTGAGTTTGCACCTTGAAGATAAGCAGATGGAAACCTGCCCCCTGAACAGGAAGGATGTTCTGATTGCTCATCAGCTGTCCTGCAGATGTTATGGAAGGATTATGTGTTCCAGGGCCAGCCCCTGGAACAGTTCCTCTGTTCCTTTCCCTGGTGCAAGTTCAGGAGCAAAGCTGACACTATTTAACAGCTCTTTTTCTCTTACCAGCCTATGCATTATATCCAGAAATATCCTGAGGAACGGATAACCTGTACATGCAGTTACATAGTGAATTTGATGATTCAATATTAAAATCAAATATAGTTTATATTTGCTGTTAGTGTTCTGATGCAGACCTTTCGGCTTGATACACCTCTACATATTCTGTACCTAGTGGTTTTCTGATTGACACCAGTGTCAACTGTTACCAGTTAGGGTTTGTTCATGTTTTCATCTCTGAATTGAGACCTTAAAATGCTAATATATCATCATCAGCTTGCTCCCTTTTGCTTTTTTATTTTTTAACCATTTTTATATAAAAAGAGTTGTTTCCAGCAACTTCAAGTACTGCAAGTACTGCACTTCTGGAGTACTGTACTATGCAACTTTGCATAACGCAAGGTTTAAAAGACAAATAAAAAAATAGTATTTTAAAACTACACATATCATGTGCATCAACAGGTCATAATTCAAACCCATTTTAATCTAAGTAAAATATTGTTAAAACATTTACTACAGAACTGAAAACAATCATTTATGGATGGCTGTATCCTAATTTCTAGCTGTAGAAAACCACAGCTAAGCAAAGGATTCACGCAGAGATAAATCCCTGCCTGCCTGCCCTCCTGCACTGCACTGCACCCACAGGAGGGAAGCAAACCTGGCTGCTTCCTGAATTAATCTGGCCTAATATAATTTGATCTCTGCAGATTTTAACTGCAGTATCATCAAAGTTGTTAATTCTTCATTTGGAGTTTAGCTTTAATAGTTTAGGGAAATAGTTTGTCTCATTCTTAGTGTCACCCATTGCACTTAGCCAGAACCAAGGTGTGCATTTAGAGCAGGCCAGGGCCTGGCTTTGGTACCTACCCAAACGTGTCCACAGGGGTGCAAGGAATGCAGTGCCTGACACCGCAGTATCAACACAGCTTTTTATGCTACACAGGAGAAAAAATACCTGAAGGAGAACAGTCTGTTGATAAAACCAAACAATTTCTTAAGTGTTAGGTAATATTTTTTAACTGAAACTGGAGTATTTGAATTGGCCTTGAGAAATACAAAGTTGGGATTCAGACCTATGTATTACCTCTTTAAACACTGAGTTAACAAGACATAATAAAAATGTGCCATATACAAGATTGTCACAGGTATATGAGATTTTTAGAAAAAAAGCAATAAAAATACTCTATAAGCTGAAAATAAATTTTCTTACCTTTTATATCACGATCTCAGCTTACAGTCACTATATTTCTGCTTATTTTATACAAGTGCATATGGCTATGAAGGTCCGGAGAGAATGAGAATAAAGTGGAATTAACCTGCTGAAAACTGCTTAGAAGTCTTAAGCTGCAACATATAGATGTTCCAATACCATTTAAAAAAACATTAACCTTTCAGTTATTGCTGATTGACAATCTCAAAATAGCAACATACAAATATTCAAGAGGAAAAATACTCAGTAAATTTAGAGCAGCAAAGGTTTTTGAACTGGATGTTTCCCAAATACTGTTTTCCTATCATTTGGTGATGATTTTAAGAGACACAAAAGCAATCCACTTGATTTTCAAGTTCAGGCCTACCATTCTTGTGCCTCATATCAATGATGTGGGGGGGAGAGAGAGAAAATATATAATTTAGTTACATTTTGGGAATTTTTTTCTTCTGCCATTTTGCTACATTTCATGTCTGCTGCCATGCACAATGGTACAACACACTGCTGCTTCAGGAGTGACCATTGCACAGCTCTGTAGCAACTTTTATAGGAAACATGCAAATACAGCATAGTATCAAAATTCTGAAGGACTTCAATAGTGAAAGTAAAGGCAGATTTCAGTGCTTGAAGCAGCACTCGACCCAGGTTGTGCCTTGATTTGGCGTTTGGTTTCCCCCCTTAACACACCAGTCCTTCCCCTTCTAGTGTAAAGAAATAACCAGGAATATATACACATCTATTGCTATGTACCCAAAGAGAGGACTTGTGGCTTGGACTAAGTATTGCTTTTCATTACATGGAGCAAAGTTCAAGAAGTGAGAAAAACACTTTAAAAAAAAAAAAAAAAGAAGGAAAAAAGCTCAGATTCCATGTCTGAAGTTGAGAAACCTCAAAACGAGCCACGTTTTTCTTGCTTTTAAGACATGTACAAAATGCCATTTGGAGCCACACAACCTGATGGTTCTAGAAGTCAGAGAAGAAATCTTGAGGGCCCAAGTGAATAATAAAAGGTGCGATGCTGAGAGGCTGGCAATAGGGATTGTCAATGAAAAAACCACCTACAGTGGGAGAAGAGCAGAGAAGCAAAAACCTCACGTTAATTTCTGAGACTGGCTGAAGCTAAAGCTCCATTTAAATTTCTCTGCTCTTTCAGCTGCAAGTGGAATTTTCATTGTAAAATGGGCACTTTGAATTCTTTGAAGGTATTGAAACATCTAACACTTCCAAGGTTACCACTTTCTAAACAAAGAACTGACAGCTCATTCATATTTTCAGTAAAGCAGAGAAATGTAAAATATGCAGCAAGGGGGCAAGTTTACAATGTGGTTAGTAACTCCCAACAAATGACAAAAAATAAAAAATGACTTCTATAAATCATCTGAAATGACTGCCATCATGTTGGAAAAGAGCATAGCGCCCTTCATGTCTTTGAAATAAGAACAAGGTTTTGGCTTACAAATGTTTGTTGTGTAGAATTGGTTCACAGAATATTTTGTTTGGAATTTTACAAAACTGGGGATTCAGAAAAAAAAAAAGGAAACTACAGTTGCCAATCAGGGGAACTCCAAAAGGCAGGGGGGGAGGGGGAAATGTGTGCAGAGGAAAGATTCCTTTAATGAATATTTGATTAACAAAAATGGGCTCTGATCAGCCATGCTTTTTCTGCTCCGTGATGGCTTCCTTTCATCCATAGGCCAGCAAAACAGATTAGTGATTTCTGAGCACCTCTCAATTAGGCTCCATCCCCGGCCCTGCTCTGTGTTCCGTGGGTGACACCAGGCTCACCCTCCCGGGCTATCATCTACATTTTATTAAAGTACCACCGACACCAAACGGAAGCGAGAGCTACGGCAGGAGGAGAACCCAGGAAATGTAAACACATTCCTAAGCACAAATACTTAGCTTAAGAATAACAGCTGCAGTTCATTCCAGGGAAAGCAGCTTGTTCTATAAGCCACCCCTTATTCAGCTTTTCTAATATTTTTCTCCCTCTAAGGGGGCTGTGGGGAGGAGGAACTTTACATTGCTTTAAGCACTGCTCTTACAACACCCTCAACACAGACACAGCTCCCCTTGCCTCAGCAGCAGCGTCTGTTAGAGAACAGGGGATAAAGGCAAATCTTTGGAAGTGCAGGAACTAAAGCCAGCCTATGGAAAAGCAACGGGCGAGGGCTGAGGAGAGAGTGCAACCAACAATGCTGCTTATTTGTGGGGTGATACCTTAATAAAGACCACTGGAACCCCTTGTTAGAGCCTACAGCAGTCAATAATCCATGGAGACTCCAATCGTGGAGCTGGGGCCTATCCTGGAATTTTGGACAGGTGCACACACTCCTCATCAAAAAGAGGACTCTGGGTTTGAGCACCAACTCGTAAAAAAGTACTGGCCTATGGCTGAAGTGTGTCACTTTTCACAGCAGCACTCAACAAGAACTGGGACAATTAAATAGCAAGTTTTCATGGGGACCTTGTTGCTGCTTTAGATTCTTATAAATGTAAGGGGGAAAGGAGAACCTTTGGTTTAATAGACAATTGACAAATAAAATGCTTTCTGTAGAAATGGTGGATGGAAAATCAAGGGTGGGCAGACAATCTTAAAAGTGAAGAAGGCCACAAGAACAAGTGGAATTTTTTTCTTTTTTTTTCTCTTTTTTTTTTGTAAAAACAAAAGGAAGGAAAACATGTAGTTTTTGAGCTCTAAAGAACCTGATTGTAACGTTATTGTTGTCCTTTCTCTGGGCAATACGGGTATAAGGTGTATCCCTGGAATTGCATCCTTCTGTGGGAACTTCCTTTAATACTTGTTTAATACTTGCTTCACAGAATGCAGTCTTATACAGAGACAGACTAATTCCCTCTGTTTCATTTGTTTTTCAGCATTTTGTGTATGAGTGAAAAGTCTTCTTGGATAATTAAGACTGTGTCTAAAATCACAGTTATAGTATGCTGATCTATAAGGAAACTCAGGTACTGATGCTTAACTATAAAAAATAAGATAAAACAATATTTTAACCCATATTTTACTAAGTTTATTACACACCATAATATTTACAAAGTTAAATGTTAACTGTAAAGTTTCTATCATGGTTTTTTTTATTATTGTTAATTTTATTTTTTAAATAACTATGCCCTGCATTTAATAACCCTACAGCAAATACAGATCATTAACTGAGTCTGTGTGACTGCATTAGGAAACAGGCAGTACTCTTGTGTTACAACAAAACAGTTTATTTGTGATCAGTGTTTTATATTCTATACATCCTTCACAAATTTAATTTTACATAATCGGATACTTCATTTAAAACGTAAGATTTAAGCTTCTAGTTCTTCCCTATAACAGAAGGCTGGTATAAGTTATTTGAAAATGAGGTAACATTTCACAGAACATTTTTTTCAAGTTTTAGAGAACTAAATTTGCATTTTGTTAAAATCAAAAAGTAGGAAAAAGATGTTTCTTTACAAATGACTTTGCTCAAGTATGTGTTCAAAGAAAACAGGATAAAAAGGCTTTTTTTCTTCTAACATTCTGTACTGTACTGTGTTGTTCAATCAATAGGAATTAGCTTCTGCCATTTGCTAAAAGAATGAGTAGTGGGGAACGGGGTAAGTTGGGAATTTCATAACTGGTAACAGAACCATTCTCTTGGGTAAACCTACAGAGAGAAGAAAGGGAGAGGACTCCAAATAAGTTCAGCAATCCAAGAAAGTCAGATAAGAGCTTACAGTAATGTTCTCATTAACCTTTTCCAGATCAGTCAGTCAATGTGATGTCAGCGTGCAGAGTCCCGTAAACAGTAACGCTTCACCACTTTGCACTATTTCAGACAGATGGTTATAGCTTAAAGTCTGCTTTATTTTTGTCTGGTGTTTGGTAAAATTAAGGATGTGATATTCTCAAAAGCAGAGTGTGTATTTGGACTTGAAGCTCTATTTCATAATCTTTATGGTAATTAATATCTACTAGTTTATTCTACATTGAGGTAATTTCACAGGCCAGTTGCAATTGCAGATATTCTAGACAGGCACTGCTGTGCATAAAATACAACTCACAGGGAAACTGTTCAGCAGTTTTGATCAGCATCCAGGTAGGTCAGCCAAAAATCAAGCACCTACAGTAAATTCTGCATCTGCTTCCTTATCCTGCACTTCCTCTCCTGTGTTGAAGTAGTAAATCTGGAAAGATTGACATCTGCCTGATATCATTATTATTTTAGAGTTCTTGTGGCCTCACAAACTTCTGCACAATTAAACGTTTGTTTGGTTTTTTAATCTTGCCTATTTAAATTCTAGTATTTAACCTATGTATCCATTTAGAAATCACAAAGCAGCAACAGCAGGTATTCCAGAGCACCAGATGATCAAAGTGAAGTTTCCCAACATGCAACAGCTTACAAAGGCAAAGAGACATGTTTACCTTACAGCCAAAAAGCATTATCCCAGAACTTCGCATCACAATCATAAGACATTAAGAACAGAAACTCTTTATGTGAAAAATGGGGGCATCCAATTTCACAATTCTTTGAAGTCAGTGATATGTCACATATATACACCTAAGTGCTTAAAATCCAGCTCACAAAATAGGCACAATGAGAAAAAAAATCCCAAACCAGAAGGAATGAATGAAAAGAGCAAGGAAAGCTTCAGAGAAACTTGGTAACACAGTTGTATTCCTGCCTTCAGCAGGGAAAGGATTCCTCATGTCACAGTGTGTCACTGCTTGTAAAAACACAGACATGCAGATACCAGTAATCCTAGTTATACTCTGAGACTGTTGCTTGAAAAGAACCAAGGGAGTTTAAAAAAATCCATACCCCAAAATAAATTGCCTTTCATTTTTCTCTGAGAAAACATGTTGCTGTTCCTTGTGTGATGCACCACAAAGGACAACACTCCATGGGACAGCCCTGCTGGCAGCTGCCCTTCTGTCAGAGGATGGGGCCAGTCAGCAGGTGTAAAACTAGAGAGGTTTTACTCTCCAGTAAAACCAATTCTTCAATTTTGTGGGAGAATTCCACACTGAACACAGCCCGTGGGCACATTCTCCCTCTTAGTACAGAACTGGACCAGCTGGTCCCAGTCAGGCAAAGCAAACATTTTCCATAGAGCAGCATTTTTGCCCTGTCAGAGCTCATACCTCTAGAAAAGTCATGTAATTGACATTTCAAAACATTTTTAACTTTTATAATGATATCAGGGGAGTTGGTATTGCCCAAGTTAGACAGATTTGGGAGGAATGACTTATTAGAAATGCTAAAAAAAAGCAGAAGTTTCCCATATGAAAAATTCCAGGCCTTGAAACATGCCAGTCATTTGAGCAGCAGACTGTGACCAGTCCCTGCCACAAGACAGGCTGGTGGGACTGCTCCTGGTGGGCTCACGTTGTGTGTGCCAGGACATATCACTGACTCCAAACTGCCCTGCTCCCATTGCCACATAAACCTCATTCAAAGTAACCAAAAGGGCCGGTTAGAGGATGCATTGTTAGTCCAGCGTAAAACAAGCCAGTAGGGAGGGAGAAGCCGAGTTAAGGAGAAAGCTTCCATCACAGCTCTCTGGTTATCAGCTCATTTTACAATCTCCATGAAACCAGTGCTTTGCCAGCCTAATAGAACATGTTTCATAGTGAAAAGCATTGTGGCAAATGACCGTGTCCTGGCTGCCTCACAGACTGATTGCTATCAGCACTGACTGCCCAAAACCCATCCTGGTGTCCCAAGCAGTGGTGTTTAGCCTGCAGGGGTGGGGGGGTATTTGCCCCTAGACTTCAAAGAGTTGACAGCATTAAGGGAGCTTTGTCCACAAGTCACTTACACTTGGGGACAGACATTTCACCAATGTTACTGTAATGTCATTTAGCTAAATCTGGGTCAGAGATGCTGAAATAGGCCCTTCGGTAGTCTTTGAATGGAGCACAGACTGGCTGGAAAAAGTAAGGGAACTACTTTGACTGGGTTCCAGTATGAAGGGAACAGGCAATTAGAACAAGCAGTCCTTCCATAGACCAGGCAAAGCAGAGGCAAAAAGCTACTCCAACCAAAAAAGAACCACAAGGTTATGGCATAAAAGTGGTGGTGTTGTCATGGTTTAAGAGCTTAAATCTCTGAATTTCTCCTTGGACTGCCACAACAGTTTCTGGATAATTTCTAACGTGTTAATTACAGGGCTGTACGTACCGTAGGCTGGTGCCGCTGTGCTGTATCCGTATGGTGCTCCATAGCCTGCAGGGAAACAGAGGAGGGAGGGGGTCATTCCCTGCCCTGCCTGTCAGTGTTTGCACACCTGCACATGGGCAGGGATCCTATGCCTGGAGCAGGAGCACAGCAAAACCAAACTCACACCAATACATACAAATATTGCTGAAAGCACTGCAGTGTTCCTATGCGGTGGCCAAAAGGACAAGCTGCCAGGGACTTTCTCAAGCCTCAGCATCAGAGAGTTAAAATTCCCCATTTCATTTCCTCAGCATTTTCTTTTCCACTGAATCCCTCAAGTCTGCACTGTCAGAGCATGGAGCTGGTGTGACACAGACATCCATATTTGCTTATGTTCTTCTTAAAACACAAATGCAGTCTATGCAGAGAATAGTCACTTTCCTAAATTTCCTTTAAAAAGAGAACACTGGATGCCTGTGGCAGGTGTCACGTCCCCCTTAGTAAAGCTCCTGGCTTTCTCTGCCATTTCTAATAGACAGAGTTCCACAGAAGGCATGTGAACACCTCCACACAAACAGATCATTGTTTCCCCAGAGAACAGAGTGTAACTCTGAAGTATTTGAGAGAAAAAGCAACATAGGTAACACCAGCATTGGTTTCTACATGTCAGTAGTTCAGAAGGCTTTACAGGTTGTTTTTTTTTTCTGGTGAGACTGCTGGTGTCACTCCAAAAAGTAAGAGATTTCTGAGAATAGGAGATGGAGAGAAATAATCTGCGAAGGCCAAGGCCAGTAAAAGCTTAACTACAGCAACTGGGAAATTAAACTTATTTCTGGAATAATTCCACATTGGCAAGAAGCATGCCCCTGGCAGGTTAAAGTGTCTCTTAAATGACTCCTCAGGCAGACAGGCAGTTCCAAAAACAATGTTAACAGCCATTAAAAATGAATTACTGGGGTTTAATATTTAAAATGACATGACCATACAGGAACAATGAAGAGGACATGCTGCCAGTGGTGCCAGGCAGGAAGGCTCCCAAACAACAGGGCTGTGCTATTAGCACGTGCGAGCTGCTGGAGGCTGTAATTAGAGCTCATGCTTTAATCTGAAAACCTGAGCATGAGAACTAGAAGAGTTATTTTTTGGAAGCTGCTACTGGATTTGCTTTGACTAAGGCATCTTCAGCATCTCATTCTTACAAATCTGTGGTTCTTATAACAAGTGAAAACAATGCCTGGATTCCTTTCTTTTGTCACCCACAAACCTCAGACATGCTGTAGAGTCACAACGAAAATGCATTTTGAAAAGTAATTTGAGGATGGAGAAAGTGATCATTTAATGAACATTTTCTTGCGCAAATGTGAAATGGGAACCAGAAGCCCTAGAACTTCAGAAGCTGTTCCTGCTAATCAGAACAATGCAGCGTGGATGATGATTCCCCATCAGCCAGAGTATGAAAAGAAATTCTTTTATTTCTGGCCACCACAGAAGCTACTGCTAGATGCTTCCAGGTGCAATTCATGTGGAAGGTTTTTGGGAGCTCAGGGACTTTTGAGCCTGCTGACCTCATGTTCACAAAGGATTCCTGGAAAAGGCACTCCTAATGCTAAATCAGCACATGATCCAGAAGGTTCTTAGGTAGGAAGGGAGCTTTGGGAATTGTGCTATGGCAGTGAACTATGAAGACAAATCATAAAATAATAAAGCCAGGAAAGCCATTATGCCCATAACTGTGTGCTCTGTGCACACAGAGCTTTGAGCTGCACACTCATAAAGGATACACTCTGCCAGCTTTCCAGCTCTTTCATTTATTTAAACCCCCATGAAGCCTTCTGCTCCATGTCAGATGGTTAAAGGAATCACTTGCACAGGTGAATAACACACATGAAAAAGAACACCCCAGCAGACAAATGCTAAACTGTCAGCTACAAGTGTGGTGCCTTACCTGGTGTTATGTATCCAGTAGCAGCAGCTGCCCCAACAAACGCCCCTCGTGTTAAAGCACCTCGTCCTCTGCCTCGAACAGCCTGGACTGCTGCAGAAACAGCTGTATTGACAACCCCTTTAGTCTGCCCAGAGTGACAAAAAATAGCAGTTCAGAGAGTGAGTGTTGCAGGAATACAAGGCCACCTGCATTAAATCATCCCCTTTGAGAGAGCTCTGTAAACATGCCTGACGTGCCAGGCTGGCTGAGCACAGACTGGAGAGTGCTGTGCCAAAGGATGTGAGTGACAGGGACACAGCGGGTCCCTGGCCCTGTCACTGCCTGCAGAGCCCAGCACGTTCCCTGTGCTGAGCCTGGCAGTCCCTTCCCTCAGACTGTGCCTTATTTACCTCAGATTTGGGCATGAGTGAACATTGCTGGCTTCTGAGCCTCTCTGCTGCTCCTCCCTGCTGTCTTTCCCACTCTTTACAACTTCCTTCAACCTACAGCACTGGTTTTACATCTCCCTTACCCTCCTGAACCCACATAACTGCAGCAGGGCCAGGATTCCACCCCCAAACAATCAGCTCGCAAGAACACTACCCTGTGTTAACCTCACTTTACTAGAATGCTGCCTTCTGTATCCAAAACCAACCCAGACCTGGGATAATGGTCCAAAAAGCAAGTTACAGTTCTTACCTGAGGAAGAATCTTCTTTTTCTTGTTATTTGCTGCATTAGGCCCAGAAAACAGTTTTTCAAGTGCTGCTAATGCAGCACTTGCTTTTGCTACTTTCTTGTTTGGGCCTGCACCTCTGAACTTCTGCCCATCTACTTCTACCTGAAAATTAAGACATGAGTTTATGCCTAGTATTGATCCACAGGAACGCTGACCCATAAAGAACTTCAGTAGGAAAAAGCATCCTTAGTGTTTTATGTGACAAATTTCTATTGATTCTCGATTTGAAACTGCTAAAGGATATCAAGGTTATCCTAGGAACCAGTGTGTCACAGATACTGGGAATCTGGAAACTACAACTGCAACTCAAAGAGGACTGGCATATCTGTTGGATACTGGATTTAGCCTATACCCTAGAGTCTTCCTTGTCATGAAATTTTGGTCAGAATCCAGTTTTAATTCTCACTGTATTTTCCTAAAGTAGAAAGGCTATTCCTTTCCCCAGCTGAATCATCACAGCAGCAAAGAGATATATAACCTGGGAAATCACCACCACTGATGTGCATTGCAAAAGGCAAAATAGCAAAAATGTGAGCTGCAGCAGCAAGTGACTGCTACACCATTAATAACCCCTCAGCAGCTGCACCTCTGCCCCACTCACCTCCATCACAAAGCGCTTGTCGTGGCTTCCCCCTGTTTCGGAGATGAGCTCGTACTTCAGACCCCTTCTCTTTTCATTGAGCTCCATCACCGGGTTTTTGCCACTTGCTGTGAGTATGGGACCCTGAGTTCTTACCTAGAGAGACATGCAGGGTGTTACTTCAGAGCCTTTCTCTCTTCAAAAGGCAGCCAAACCTCTGCACACCTGTATCACAGGTAACGCTGCCCTGGCTGCAGCTCAGTCTGCGATGCTGGCACAGCAAAGGGCAAGTCTCTGAAGAAGGGCAGGAGGACAAACAGTGATGTCACAGAGGTCACACCCATCTATTTCTGTTGGTGAGGGCTGTTGTCCTCATGGCCTGGTCTGGTGCCTGCACAAACTAAACATGACACCAACTGCACTTGGAATTGCAACCCTGGGAGAATCCGAAGCTGAAGGTGGGGCCATGGTGTCAAGTTCCTTGAAATTGAAGGCTTTCACACCGAAAGGAGAGACTGGCCTTCCCGGCCCTGCACACGTCTCTGCTGTTCCACCTAATTATGTCCTGGCACTACCAACTCAGACTAAAGAAATCTCGTGCCCTGAGTCACGTGTTTTAGTAGAAATGTCTGTAACTGTTTGGAAAGGAAGGTAAAGCTGAGATTTCAGCACACCAGATCAGTCTGCAATAGAATTCTCTTAGCTATGGATAAAAACAGGGCAGTTCCATTAAAAATACTCCATTTGCATTTCCCTAGAAATTTCTCAGTGGATAAACATGTACGTGGTTTGAGTTATCCATGATTACACACTGTCTGGAAATTGTCTCCCAACTGAAGAAATTTATGTTTTACCATTCTGACAAGTAGAACAGAAAAAAAAAAAAAAATTTAACCCCAATCCCCATACCTCTATCTTTTGTATTTTCAATGCAATCCTTACCTCTAGGGTAGCGGAGGTGTCAGCTGTGGAATTGCCAGTATTATTATTGCTTGAGATTGAAGACGTTGTTTCATTTTTACCTTCAGTATCTGATTTTTCATCAGAACTTACACACTCCACATCTGCATCAAAACCTGTTGGATACCCCATTGCTTGTAAAACCTACAACAAAGCCCCATGAAATGAACTGTGACAGAGGCAGCAGAACAGGAACAAATACAAAGCTGATCACAACACAACAAACAGTCCACCATACACTTTAAAAAGGCAGATTCCTTACAATATTCGTTTTCTCCTATTCGAAATGGAGATATCCATTTCAGTGGTTATCAGCAGGGAATACAATATCAATGGGGAAAACTATTTCAGGTTTCCAAAAGTGGAATCAACACAAAACAGAATTTTAGTCTGAAAGATACTCATGAGCATCATTCATCATCTCAAGAATTCCTTGTAAAGTAAGAAATCAAAGACACTGTTTAATAGCCTTATAAGGAAATAGTTTTGTGCATGATTTCCCCCCTGTGTCTATGGACAGATCAAGAGACAGACTGTGGGGCAAACGTGACAGTTTTGTGAGAATTCAAGCCTTGTACAAGATGGTACTTCTGGAGCTCAGTTCCTTCAAAAACATCCTCCATGAGCAAGGCCAGCCTCTCCCTTAACCAGCTTCCTGATCCAGCTGCACAGAGCTACCACACATAGGGCAAGGGAAACTCAAAGGAACCCAAAACTGCTGAAAATTTAGGGCCAAGAACAAAGTCTCCAAAAATGATTGTGTTTGAACCCTGAGCTGAGAACTGCTTGGGTAACCCCTGGCTCAGCTGCCATGCAGTTGGGGTACATCTGGCTGTGTTTTCAGGGATTCTGCATTTTAAAAAGGTCAGATTAGAAAGTGAAATCTCACATTATTTCCTCTTATAAGACTGGAAGGCAGGGTCTTGGTCTGCTGAGAAGGGAAAGAAAGAAAGAGAGAAGAAAAAAAAAAAAGCAACTCTCGACCACACCACCCATTTCCTCTTGGCTTGAATCATGGATGTTTTGATGTGTAAATCTAGTGAAAACAGAGCTAGTCGGCACCAGCACAGATCTGGCTGACGCAGAGAGGTTCAAGGGCAGAGCAGTCACAGTTTTTCAGGGCAAGTGGGTTTTTTGGGCTTTTTTTTGGTTTTGTTTTTTAAACTGCAGAGAGGAAGGCAAAATAAAAGAATGAAGCAGAAGGTCTGGAAGGACACACATGCAGAGAGCTACTTTTCCTGAAGGAATAACACAGGCCCTCAGATGCTTCTGGACACTTTGAACTTGAAAGCACATAGGACAATAGGATTTTCAAAACTGAAATCAAAGGAAAGCAGAAAGTTGCCAGATGAAGATTCTAAAAAGGAAATTCTTGTTCAAAACAAAGTGAGGCATAGAATGACAGATGGGCCTGTTCCTATCAGAAGAACAGATCTATTAACAGGTGTTCTTTTGTAGACTCGTTTAGATTGGAAAAGACCTTTAAGATCATTGAGTCCAACCGTCCATTACCCCAGCCCTACTATGCCCTCCACTGAGCCATGTCCCCAGGCACCACATCTGGTGGATGCTCACATTGGGCATTCCAGTCTGTCCTGCTGTCATGTAGAGCACCTACAGGAAGCAACAGCAGCTTGACCAGTCTCTGAATGATAGCAGTGTCCTGGAAATTTGACTGGATAAATCATTGGCATGGTTTACCCAGTACACAGAGGTACTCTTCAGGTCCTGAGCACAGAACTCTATTTCCAGGAGCTCACAAGCCAGGAATGGACAGAGAGAAGGAGGGGGAGAAAGAAGCAGCCACCAACATGCCACTTCCAAACCAACAGGACCCCTCGAACTAAACTAAACCAACCAACTAAACCCCTCCCATCCAGAATTTAACCACCGCATTCAGTCCACTGTAACATGAGTTGACCTCATGTTGAGCCCCAGGAATTTCTTCCCCACTGCTAGCACAAAACCAGTGATGCTCTTTGAACCATGCCGAGCTGTCTTTAGAGCACATAGTCAGAAGCTCATCTTAATAATTTTTTTTTTTTCATTTTGAGCTTGCATATTATTAGTTCTAAGCACATTTCATACTCCATCCCAAGATCTTGGGTTAGCAGATTATTTCAGGCTGCCTTACCTTCACTGCCACATGGAGCTTGGCTGTTTTCTTAGAAGGTCCTGATGCTTCATAAGTCGTACCATCAACATCTACAGACATTGTGAAGACTGGGGCATGGACTGGACCAGACTGTGACAGCAGCTTATACTGAAGCCCTGGCCTGATTTGGTTCAGCCTCATCAGAGCATTCATGAGATCTATTGCTTTACTATCTAGTACTAGTACAAGATAGTAGAAGGGGTGGGGGAAGGAGGGGAAAGGAAAATGAACAAAACAAGATGAACAGAAAAATGAAACAGTTTGCATTTCAGTGCCTTCTGTCTGTATCAAGGAGCAAAACCATCCCTCAGTCTCTCAAGAGGGTGAGAAGAGCCATAATACTGTTACGTCATTAATAAGCCATTCTAATTTGGGGTAACAACTATAATGACCTGGTTTTACATTAACATTCTGCTGCAGCTAGCTGTATTCCTCCTGCCTGCTGTAAAAGGAGTAACAAGTTTTATAGCTAATGGGGAACCAGGTCCAGAACTGGCATACAAGTAGCACAATGAAAATAGCCCCCAAGAATGACTGGATCCCAGAGTGACTGGATCCCACCAATGCCAAGAAATTTCTAGCCTGTGCATATGTGTAACATTGTTTTGCAGATTACACATCTTATTTTCCTTGTAGGAAATCTTGAGAGACCAACACCTAATTCAGGAAGGGGAAGAGTGAAGAGAGTGCAATCTTCACTGAGCAAAGTAACTGCAGTACTTTAAAAAGACCTCACAATACAGGGATTTTACCATTAAAATACCTCAGCTGCTTGGGCAACTTCAGTTCTGGTGTAAATTGATGGGTAATCCCATTTAAAAATGCAAATCATTCAGTTAGTAAAACATGTCAGGGGAAATTCAGATGCACAGAGATGTGTTTGACATTCTGAATGCAGGGTGATAGAGACAACAATTTTGTTCCAAAGACTTTTTCACATGCTCTACCACACCAACACAGAGAACCCTTTAAAGCAGCCCCCCCTGTACAAATAGATCTTTGAAAACAGAGTGGAGAAGTGCTACACTTACTTTTCCTCAGATTACGCTTCATCTTTTTATTTGGATCTTTATCATCCCCAACACTGTCTTCAAACGGTCTCTTCAGAGCAGATGAGCCTGTACCTAGGGTATAAAGTTCCTTGTAATATGGATATGCCATTAGGAAAACACGATCCCACAGCAGGAGTCTGATTAGTCCCACACTGTTCCTTGCTTGTTTATGGAGAACAGAACTCATCTATCAGTCACAGCTTTCTTATTGCTACATGAAAGCCAATACTGGTTTACTGCTCACTCTACCAGGCCAGGCAGGATCTCTGTGTACACTAACAGGTGTGGGAGAAGGACTGCAAACCTGCAGTGCTGTTTTCCACATTTAGTCTAAGCAAGACCTGCAACAATATTGTTTTAACAAAAAAATACACGTGGAAATTTTTTTAATTAGATATATATTGTTTTCTAGGAAGAATTTTTGAGTAATTCTTACTATGAACATTCATTATATGCTTTTTGACACGTCTGCAGTTTCTCCTCGCCAGCATAAGAATCAAACACTACTTCTGCTCATTGGATGCCACGGGACTTTGTGCTTTTATCTTTAGATAAGCATCAGCTATATTATGCTGTTCTGCCTCTCGTCTCCTGGTATTTCTAGAGACCAGAACTTCCAGATTTTATTCTTACAATGAAATATTTTTTAAAAAATCACCCCACATATAACAAGGAAAAGCTTCTACTTCATATTCACAGCACATGATTCAAAACTTCAGCCATTCTAAATTAACTCCTAGTTTACTGCCAAATTAGTAACTTTTGGAACAAATAATACCTACCTTCTTTGTCAGTTACTGACCAGGAATATTTCTGAAATGACTTATTTGATGGGAGGGGATCCATTTCCAAAACTTTATAGATCTGCCCAAAGGCTGATAATCTGAGCGCGTGCTGAAAGGGACAGTAGACAAACACATTAATCACAGCAGGATTTCACCTCAGTTGCTCAAGTTTTTTAGTAAGTCTTTAGACAAAAACTGCTTCTGTGGTTTTGACAGACAAGAAGACAGCTTTTACAGCTGGCCTCTGCAATAGCTGTGGAAAATGCTAATGTCTAAAAATATAAAACTCATGAATTTCTGTAACACAGAGTGCAGGGCACTCTGACAGGGAGCCCATCCAGGGGCTCTGTGCTGGGAGCAGAGGTGGGTGCACAGGCATCCCACTGACTCTGCAAGGGTAAGATTTCACACACATTTAACTCTTGCACTCGTGAACTATGGTTTAACCTTTCCAGGATAGTGCAGCACAAGAACTGTCAGGACTGCCACGAAAACAAGCCATCCTGGCAGAAAATAAATAGTGCTAATGAGCTGGATTCCTCACTATTGCAGCACACACAGAGTTCCCTACCTGAGCACTGTGTGTAATGGCTTCTTTTTGCTGAACTGTCATGTAAGACAAAGCGTCCGTGGGCTCGCGCTCGCAGGGGTCGTGCAGCCCCGGGCCCCCTGGCAGGGAGAGGAATGGGGATTACTGAGGGGAACGAGCAGCAGTGTGCAAACAGGGGCTGACAGAGCAGCTGAGCCCAGCTGCTGCACTGTGGGCAGCACCCCTTCTGCAGCAGGGAGCCAGGCTTCACACAATGCAAACTGGCCCGAGGTTTTCTACCCTTGCAGTGGCTACAGACCTTATCAGGGTAAACACTGCACATGGGTGATAACATTAACTGAAATCAGTAGAAATGGAAGAAAACACATAATTTGGACAGATATGTAGATTTCAAGGAATCAATAGAAACCAGATAATCATTAGGTTTATTTACCTGCAACCCCTTAATGAGGTATGGTTTAATTTATAACAAATCTAACATTCCCTGTTAATTTCTCCTGCAGTGGCAGTATCATTCACACAGTTACCACTATGCAAAATCCTTTCTTTTAATTTTATATTTTAAAGAAAAAAACATCAATTTCACTCCAGGGCAAGTTCAGAGTTCACAGCAGGCATTTCTCATGTAATCCTACAGCAACAGCTAAATGTTAAGGTGGGTTGACCATCCCTTTGTGTTCCTGGGGTTCATTTGGCCCCTTACCAGGAAGCAGAATTCCAGATGCCAAACACTCCATCACTCGTCGCAACGCTTCCCCAGCGCCCAAAGGTCTATTACAAGTACCTATAGATTTTTCACATATAAGCTCGAGTGGCTAGAAGACATTAAATTACGATTAGTATGGACACAAGGGTACCTGTGACTGAAAGTTAAAAACAGGGGGCAGAGGGGGATGCACATTCACATGAGGACACTTTGTTTGTAATCTACTACAGGTCTAACGGACAGAGACCTGCCCCAGAGGAGGCCATGAACTTGTGTAGGGCATATCTTTGTCCCCCCTCGTCTGAGTCACCTTTTGAGGACACCAGCTGCTCTCCACTGTATGACCAAAATGTCAAAAAGGAGGGGTCTCTAAAGTTAAGCCAGATGAATGTTCTCTCAGAGGGTTTTCAGTTCCACACAAGAGAAACACCACCTCTGCTGCCCTACAGAGTGTTCCTCTCCAGGCACGCAGAGCAAACCGGCCCCAGGAAAGGGCGACAGCCACTGGCAGGAGTGGCATTGTCACGGGAGCAGGATAGTTTTGGAATACTAAACAAGAGGGATGGAAGGCAACAAGTGGGAGTCTGTTGCCAATCCTCCAGAATGTGCAAGGCCCACGGCAGTATGTCCCTTTCCATGGGATCAGTGTGTCACAGACTCAAGGACTGCTTGCCTTCTCTGCTCTACACAGGGAGCAGTTAATTGGGGAGCAAAGGAACAGGAGTGGAAGGAGGAGTCTCATGCAAGACTCCGCTTTCCCCAGTCCAGACACTGCTACAACCCAGGAGATCTGAGTCATGAACTTGTGGCCTTCAGCTCTTTCTGTACTTACCCAGCCTTTCAGCGGTGCCCATGTGGGGACTCTGTTGCACAAATCCCGCAGAATACGAAGGACAATTACACATGATTTTAGTCCATTTGCCCTGGCCTAAAACAAACAAAATGATTCCAATACACCTGCAAAAGCCTGGTCTTCAATTTTGCTTTTCTCTTTAAATGCACAGAGTCCTGGGATAGATTTTAAATTATTATTACTTAATACTTAATCACCTTCATGCAAAATAAAAGCACATATATAAAAGTACACTTGAATTTAGAGAGATGTATAAAAAAGGCAGTGAAATGTCAAGATTGCTTTTGTAGCCTCATGACAACTCTGGACCAGCTGACTGTCTCCCTGTCACGTTTGCCCTCGCACAGTACAGCACTGGGTTGGAATTCTAGACCTTTGCTCTAGGAGGGACTAGTCAGAAATTAAAGAGGCATTAAAATTAAAACTGTCTCAAATTAAACCTTGCAAGGCTACAATAACAACAAGGTAAGAACAAAGAGCCAACCTGAAACCATTTGGCGTGCCGCAGAGACGCCAAGGCCTCCAGGCATTTCTGCCTGTCCAATAAGTCCGGAGGATCTTTCATCGCAACATTATCTACTGGTAAAAATGGGATAAAAAGAGACAGATACAATTTGACCAAGGGGTTTCTGTCACAATACAAAAAGAGCGGCAGCATCTCAATGAGATAATAAGACTCCCAGAATTTAAGTGCACGGTGTTATTTAATTTAAACAAGCCATTAAAGATAGTAAATGTGCACATGTGCAACAGAAGCAAAGGCATTCACTCCTTGTAAAATAATAGTAATAATAAAGATGGCCACTGCTACAGACAATCTGGGATCTTATTAAAAATGTAGAACACATTTCAGGGCAGAAAATAGCTCTATAGCACTTTTCCTTTTTTTTTTTTTTTTTTTCTGTTGGGATGTATTGGGCTTTTTTTTCCTCTTCTTCTTTGTGACTTTTATTCCACAAAGGTGGCACAGAATTTCAAAGCTTCTTTGGACAAGAGGAAGATATTCTCAGGGGGTAATAAAAAAATGTAATAGGTAGAAAGTTAAATTACATCCATGCAATTGTTGAGAATTCCAAAGAAAAACATTGAATATATTTGAAATATTACTGCATGAACAGTACTAGCCAGTATAATTCAATGAAAGAAATATACAGGAAATGCTAGTACAATACTTAATTTGATTAGTCTTTCATATAACCAGAGCATATGAAAGAGTTGGCTTTGGTAACTTCCAGGTCATTAATGTACTTGAGAGGAAGTGCCCTTGTGTAAAAGCTTCCCAACAGCAACTGAAACCAACAGATGAAATTCAAAGATGAATTTGAGAGACAAGACACTGATATTTTCTGTCCAGGTTTACACTTTCTTTGCCTTCCCCCCCTTTATCAACTAACTTGTAACAAACTGCTTTTAGCAGCCGCATCCAATTCTACATTAAGGGGAATTCTCTATCAGTCCTTTCTTCCATATTTCTTTTACTTTAATCCAAAGGAGTTTGTATCATCCAGATTCTCTGGAACCGCTATATAAATGACAGTTTCTACATTTCTGTGAAATCATATTACAAGATATTAGGTTTAGCTGATGTTGACAACAGGAATAACAAAATTAATCTATGACTTAACTAAAACCTTGAATATGGCATTTTCCCTATGAATATATAGTTACTCTTGACTTAAAAATAAGTAATGTGAAAATACACTCTTTTCATTATTCATAATGGTTAATTCTCAGGTCTTCAGAGACCTTTGCAGAGATGAATGAAATACTGAATCCTGAAACTGAAAACTCTGCTAAATGAGCAAAATCCAGCAAAACATCTAAAATACCAGGACAAGTTATGAGGAAAAAGTACCATCAGTTTGTTAGTGCTATCTCCAAGGACATTTTCTTGGGTTCCATTGAATGGGATTGGCTACATAAGCAATTGCATCTTTAATGTTAAGGCTGCCTCTCCTAAGACATTTCCTGGGAAGGTTACTCTGGTAAAAGCACTTGATGTTATGATGAATAAAAGAGCCCAAAGCAAAAAAAATCCACCAGTGTAAAACTGAACAGAACCAGTATCTTGTCTGACAGGTGATGGTTGCAGTCAACAGTTGCTGACTCAAGTGCTATAAGCTTATTTTCTAACCCCTGTGAACTTCACAGCAGATATTTGCATTGTTTGTTATTGCCCTCATCAACAGCATTCCAGGATTGGGATTAATCACTCCTCTTGTCTGCTTTGCAAATCAGTGTCCAAACGAAAGCTGCAAACTCTCAAAACTCTGACTTTCTTTGAGCACAAAAGGTCACTTTGGAACACAAGGTTTGCTTTTAAATTTCTTTTACAGTTTTGTTGTTTTCAGGAGTGACATTTGTGGCACAGGATTACTCAACATCCATCTGGGTAGTTCTCTGAAAAAGCTTCACTGCAGACAATATAAACATCTGCTTAAAGCTCAAGTATTGTATCAAACAAGTACTGTCAATGCATGATCAGAATCTTATTTTAAAATGTTAGAAATGGTAAAGGTGACTGACTGCAAAATCATTATTTTTTTGCAATGAACTGGTGCTCAGTGTTGTATGAAGTTTTGCTAAAGAGTGCTGCAGCCATTGATGAAGTAAATTAATTTTTCTCTTAAACCACAAACTAAACAGAATACATGTCACCTGTCATTCAGGTGAACCAAAAACATCCTAAAATGTGTTTCAGCAATTTAGAATCATACATTTTCTTACAGGATTAAGACCATTTTCCAAGGCCTAATTTACAAATATCTTGGAGAATTTTGCCAATTGCTTGTTCAGCCCCAGTGTCCTGATGTTGCAGTCTGCCAACTTTGGGGTGCAAGATTCTATTAAACAGAAAGATGAAGAGAACAGGCAGTGAAGAGGGCGAGCGGCTTGCAGCGGGCTCCCTTCAGACCCCCTCGGGAGAATGGCATGTTTCTTCATGCTCTGCCAGTCAGGAAAGTGAGACCAAATCAAAATTTTCAAACGAGATTGCAAAGCTTTCCTTTTTTCCTTGTAGTTTTAACAAGGGCAGTGATCCAAGGAGTTTAGTAAAGAGAATTCTAAAGCCCTGACATTAGCTCACACTATGCAACGCAGAACCAATCCCTCAGGAATTCTCTCCCCGCTGCTGTAGCATTCTCTTCACACAGGAGCTGCCAACTCCATTCATTTGAGCTGTATGAGGAGCCTTTTCTTCTCCAGAGAGGGGAGGGCAGTCTGGGGCTTGCTGCCCCTTCAGAGAGAGGCACTTGTCCCCTTGGGAGCATCACTGGCCATGTCCTGCTCCAGGAGCAACAGGAGTTCAGCCCCACTTTGGTGAACCAGCTTGTTTCATTACATCATTTGTTGTTACTGTATGCTCAGTGACAACAACTGGTTTTCAGGATACAAGGTTCTGGTCTGGAAAGCCCAATTTATATTTGATGCTGTGACTAAAAATTCAGTTTCTTAAGAAGTTTAAAATTTAAACTGATGCAAAATGCAGGCAAATTTAGGTGCTTGACTTCTCAACATGAGAAAGCAGAGCTTTATGGGTAGCTGTTTGTGAGAAACATCAAAATGCACACACACACACTGGGCCACTATTTATTTTTGCTAAGGAGCAGCAAAAACAAATAGGACAAACACCACATCTTAAACATGAACACTTTTCCAAAGAGGTGGGGACTGAAGAGAAATCCAGGAATGTTTTTCGATACATTCTGACATCAGGGCATGAAGGCACACACAGCATTCCTACAGAACAATGGGAGCACTGGTAACGAGGGCCGTTGGCCTGACCTGGGCTGTTAGAGGATAGATTAGTGCTAATCCCACTACAGAAACCTTGGTCAGTTTTCCGCAGGCTCAGGCAGTCTGGGCCTATCTTACATGGAAGATGAAAGGCAAGTTCAGCAGCACTTTGAGCTCCTTCAGTCAAAAGAATTCATGGAGCCGACTGACAGGTTTGTAAAACTGCATAGGAAGTCTATTTACATTTAGTTGACACTGTTCGGTAGAGGTGAAAAAATACAGCAGTACTTTGGAGATCAAGGTGTTTTCACCAGTTTTCTCCAATTATTCTCCCTATTCACTAGACATGAAACTTTTTTTTGTCTGAATCTAAGTGATTCCAATCTAAATGATTGGAAAGATTACAAAAAAAAATGTATCCCTCCTAACTTAGTGACATCTGCATAATGCTCCATATACCTTGGAAAGGAATATGATAAATGTCTCTGTTCTTTGTGATGAATCAATGCCAAGGAACCTGGCATTTTAAAATGAGATCCATGACCCTATTCCCTGTTCTCAGCAGCTGTGCAGAATGACAGTGTATAACCACTTCAGGAGAGGTGGTAAAACCATTTTAAATTGCAAAAATATAGTAGAGACCTTTGAAAATATTTTAAGATACTGGAAAAAAAAATAGACCACCTACATTTTAAGCATGAGAAAGCATAAAAATTCCAACCCTCCTTTAGTTTGAGATGAATTAAGAAATTCCTGGACTTTGCTGGCATTACAGCATCAATTTTTACAAGAAAATACTTGGGCAGAAGCCTTTGTGTAAAACCGTATCCCCTGGTGGGAATCTCACAAATCCTTCACCATCGGAATTCGTCCTACACTGGGCTCTCTCATGAACATGAATGAGCTGCAGCAGCTCCAGGGCTGGTCTCAGCATCTTGTGGGAAGCTGAACAACTAAAGCAATATGCAGTTTATTTTTAATGGTCTTGGAAACAGCATTGTTGCTAATTTCAGAATAAACAGCCAGTGTAATTAAGGGATCTTTGCCATTCATCTGTTCTGTAAGATTTTTCTACATTCAACTGCTGCCAAAGTGTTACATGTCACTTGGAAAGGGATCCTTCCTGCCATCGCCTCCAACAAAATGAGGAGAAACTGACCAACATTTCTCACCCCATTGGTATTCCATGTGGGAGAGGGAGGAAGCAAAGGACTTGTGGCAAGTCTAGAAATGGGAAGAGAGCGACAGGGAGTTCCCTAGCCCACACGGGCCCAGCTGCCTCAGTTGTCATGACAGAGAGTGGCCAGTTGGTCAAAGGTCTGACATCATCCAGTGGCAAAGTTTCTAGGGATAGGTTTGGGAAGCGGAAGCAGAAATTACTGAAAAGATTTTAAAAATACAACAAAGTATGGCTACATTTGCTCTTCTCTATTGCTCACAGTCTGTTTCCAGCCTCACTGGTACTACAGACACCATCCTGCAGCACGGGCACGGGACTGTGTAGGACACCGCCGAGAGGGAGAAGGAACGGAAAGGACTAAGTGACAGTTTTCTAGAACTATTTTGCTCTAAGGACATGAGGTACAATATTCAATTCAGAAGCAAAAGTGCTGTATCACAGCACCATAACTTCAATTGTCTCCCAGTTAGGAAATTCTTAAAGCCAGAAGCATACACATCATCAATCAATAAAAACTGAGGGCCAGGACGACACACTGGCGAGCTTTGCAGGAGAGGGCTTTTACATAAAGAGAAACATTTTTATGAGTTTTTCAAGAAACTGTGAACCAATCCCACTTGACTGACTTAATTTGCAAACAAGACTGTGCAGCACCAGGTGTTCAAGAATTAAATAGCGAGTCTGAAAGAAAGAAGAACTAAGATCTAATTGTGTGTCAGAGTTAACACTGTAGGAATATTGCTTGAAAGGAAAACGATACATATTTACATGAAATTTAAGTGACTGCTGTCGTTTTAAGACACAAAGAATGGAATTCATGGTGGCAATAGCTAGTCTAGTCAATACACGATGCACAATTAAAAACCTACTTGCCAATTAACCCTGTGCTGCACAGTCAGGACATTTAGCTATAACAGTCTTAAAACCAAGTTAAAACGCTCCGTGTACCTCCTTCCTTCTTCTCTGCTTCATCTCGGATGAGAGGGGATGTGAGTATCACCTTCAAAGTGAGCTTGGGCTCCTTTGTGTTATGGATAACAATAGCTGCCTCATTTACATGCTCCTCCACCAGATACTTCTCTTCTGTAAGTTTCTGAAAGTCACCAAGAAAGATTTCAAGACTCTCCCAACAGACTGAAAAAGCGAAGAACCTGTGTATGTGCCTCAGCTAATGAGAAGGCTACAGGGCATTGCAGTAACAAAGGCAGCATTGTCTCCCTCATTAAAAGCAATTTCTAACATTTCTTTGTAGCCAGTGCTGCCACTGCCTTACAGTTTGCTCCATTAACATGCACTGTATCAGAGTTCTGTGCAGTGATATCTCTGCAGGTCTTTCAGCAGCCCTTTGGGACCTCTCTCACCCTCCAGAAGCAGCACAAGGGCAGCCACAGACGGCTCAGAGGCCTCCAGCCACCCCTTCATTCTGGAGTCTGGTTCAGCACACCAGTGGTTAGGATGTCTGCTCCAACCCTTTCTCTGCTGCAATCTGCTCTGCAGCTCCTTTATTGTTGGGATGAAAATGGCTGAGCATCTGCTCACCATGGGCCTTCAAAGCAGCAAAGCAGGAGCTCCCGAGTCTCTCTGCCTCACTTGTTCCTTTTGTCCACCAATGGGCCTAAACCCTCCACCTCCAGCATCAGATCCCTCTGCAGAGCTCTCCTTGTCTTCCATGCCTACAACAGTTGGAGCATTTCATGAATCAGAGTCCTCTTCCCTCATCTTTTCTGTAATCCCTCACAGTTCTTCCCCACAGGATCTTACCTGCCTGTCTCTTGAATTTATTCAGTCTTCACATATTTTAATTATGTCTATTCTTTCATTTTATCTCACTTTTTTTGAAGCACATACTAACTTTTCTTCTCATTTTCAGCCCTCCTCATTTCGTGCCTCACAACAAGGTTTATTCTTTAATACTCAGTACATCCCTATCATTTTCAAACAAGTAAAATTTACTCTTTACTACTCAAAAGATCCTTGCATTTTTAGCTATGGATAGGGCCACATCTCTAGGAACAACATTAGCCCATTAAAACAAGCCCTTTGTGTGAGAAAATGAATGGTGATAACTAACAGCTGTCAAGCATGGTAGAACACAGGAAGAAAAGCAGATCAGAAGAAAAGCAGATTGAGTTTGGTTGTGGTTTGGAGAGGGCACTTGCAGTGGAACATTTGAGGACAATTCCTTGGTACCAGTGTTGGTGAATCTGGAAGCTGGACTGATTCCTCAGCCTCAGAACTCTGTCGCAGAGGTGGTATCCCTAAACAAGCTGCAACTGCTGCCCACTGGATGCCAGCATCAGAATTAAGTAGCCATAAATAAAGATAACATGAGCTCATGATTAACATGAGCCTAAATGAGTGACCACCTAAAGTGACATGTTCTCTCTCACCTTGGCAGCACAGAGGGGTTTATGTGGGAACAGCCCAAGCAAAGCAGCTGCAATGGGGAACTGCAGGTTCAGGCAAGGGACAACAACAGCGACTGAGTGACCACTTGAGCAGGAAAAATTTCTGTAGTTCAGCTCATGTTGGGTGGAGCAGAGCACCCAAACCCACCCTGGGTTAGTTGCACACACAGAGGTCAGCTGCCCTCCCAGGGAACTGACAGCACAAACTTGAGTAGGGCAGCAACAGCAGGAAGAGGTTCAATTTTGTGAGTAAGGACTTCATGTCACCACATTAGACGTCACATGTCCCAGATGCCATCCTAGATTCAGAATATATTCCTTTACATCACTTGTCTTTCTTGTTGGAACAAATTCCAGCCTTTCCCCACATAGCCCTTGCAGTACTATCAGCCATTGTGGGAGGACTGCTGCAAATGAACTCACCTGAATTTGAGCTGGGAGATTGTCTTTAACGATACATAACAAGGTCTTTGTGGGTTTTTCTTTGCACATGAGAACCAGCTCCAGATCCATATCATCTTTGATCAGCAAGCCCTTTGCAACCAAGCCAATTCTCATAACGCCACATAACGTCCGACCACCTTGATCCCTGGAAATGAAACAATTTAGGGTAATTAAAGGGGATTTTACTCTCCAGCTACAGTTTAGGGGAACCTTTCAGAGTCACAGTAAAGAATTTTCAAAGCAACATACGGACACTTGATTTTTGACTGCTGAGAAAAATGAATGTGACAAAAGCCAGTTTTGTAGACTAGGACTGTTTAAAAACATGGAATAAAATGCAAGAAATGCTTCTTTGAGAGGCCAGGACCAGCTCGTCTTATCCAGTTGTCTCCAAAGCATTTACCAATCACACTTGGATTATTTTTTTATAAAAAATCAGCATCCATATGGGGCTGAGTTGCCAGCTGGGGTAAACTATGGCAATAATGGAAAGTAATGGAGACTTTGGAAACTTTGTTTGCTGGATTATAAAATCTTTTGTGTATCAGAGTGCAGGAGCCCCCAAGCACATGGCTGTCAATTTGCACTGGTGTGTTCCAGGAATTGTATTTGCTTAAAACTGCTGAAAGGTTTGTCTGCTAAATGCAGCTTCACAACATCACAGTAAAATAAGCAAAGAACTATAGATCAACTGCTGCCCACACTTATTGCCATTCCCTGCACTCCCCCCATGTGTTCCCACATCAGAAAGTCCAAATATATCCCCCTCCTTCTATGAATATTCATCTGCAGCAGACCCAGGTAACACTGCAACTCTTATTTGGAGGAAAGGAGTCATTGAGAGCAGCACAGGGACACTTTGTGAGCTGAGGCTTCACTCACTTGGCAGTGCCTTCAGCAGCTTCCTCCTTGGCTTCCACATCACCCTCACACTTTGCAGACTTGTTCTTTTCATCCATCCAGTCAGAGACATGCTTAAGAGCACATTCTACTGTTGAGACCATGTTCTGGACAGCTTCAAGCTCCTCTGGAGATGGATAAATGGTTGAATGTTTCACCATTACGTGGCGGTCATCGTTAGCAAAAGATCGGATTGATCTCTGTTGCAGAGTGGGAAACAGGAAGAAAAGAGAACGAAGTTATGGGTGTATTGACAGGACATTGCCTGAATGGGAATCCTGCCTGGCAGAGAGGGTGCAGACCGGCCATAGCATGTGGAAAGGAGGGTGGGCAAGGAGACATGATTCCTGTTTTGTAAAAGGCATTGATGCTCTCCAAATACAATTTTGCATATTCTGGAAGTGCTGAGTGCAGCCACCTCTCCTCTGTTTATGCCGGGGACCAGAGCAGCACACCTTGGAGCAGGCAGTCAAAGAGCCAGTCCCTCACAGGTTTGCTGCTGCTGCAGATGAAGTCACAGGCAGTACAGAACTGTGAGAGGCTCAGCCACTGCACAGGGATTTGCAAAGGCATGAGTGAAGATGAGAATAAAGATAAACGGTAAGACTGAAATTTCTTTTTAAAAAACATTCAAATGAATAGGAAGATATTTGAGTGCTAATTAAAAAAGCCTACAGTGAATCTCAGAGTCCTGAGTGATTCTGCTGACAGAGGTAAACTTCACTAGTTGGGAAACCTGTGCTAGGAGGTTTTGGGTTTGCTGCAGACTATTCAGGTGAGACTTTTTTGATCTAAGCAGCGCCCAGACCAGCTGTGATCACAGCACAGACCTGTGGCAAGGGCAGCAATAAGTCTTGATCTCTACAGACACATCAGTCACTGCTGAAAGTCTCCCAGAACAGAATCACCAACCAAACCCCTCTGTTCCTCCTAGACGTTAAGCACCTTAATTAGGTGTCATTGTCACCCCTACTTCATGGATTTGTAGCTGTACCCACTCCTAAAGACACAAAGGGCCTTTGAACAACCTCACAGGCCTCTAGGCTGGATCCTTATTAAGGAACTGTCCATGATTTCCTGGTTTATTGCACTCCCTGTGTCTCTTCCATTGAAGGTCATGGCATCATTCCCATCCTAATTTTTGTGTTTCTACCCAGATGGATAATTTGGGCAGTAACAATTCATCTGTCAGGGGCTGGTTTTACCCCTGCAGTTTGATAGGCTGCAGAGTGCTTCCAGGAGGTCCCTCTTGTGGTTATCCACAAAATGGATACAGCCAGACTGCAGGAAAACGCCGAGCTGCATTTACCAACTCACTCACCATCTTCTACCTCAGAAATGCCAGTTACAGCAGTGGAACAGAAACAAACTGGTAATTCCTAATTATGAGACACGTTTTCTTTCCTAATGAAGAAGGGCTGACAAGATCAACTCCTCATTACAATTCAGGCCGAAAAGAATGACAGAGTGGGACACTATTTTAAATATATTAACAACTCTGCTTTGAAAAGTGTTCTTTCTCCCTTTCCCTCTGTAACTGGTAAAAGTCTTTGTTTAGGTGTTTTGTTTAAATACAAATATAAACACACAGCCTAAATGCAGCAACCAGCCACACAAATGTTAGCAACTGTATTTAAAATTTATTTCATTTATTCTCATTTCCATTCTATCAGTAATAACTTTAGAGGACTTAAAAATATATGAATATGTTTAAACTGCTCTCCACTCATATTGTTCAGCAACTGAGTAGGTTTACTGTCTTTTTATGAACACATTTCAGAATCTCACCGTCACAATACTTCATACTTGCACATTTTTACAAATCCCACATCTCAGGCACTTCTATTTGCAGCCAAACCCAGGCAAATGAGGAGTGACTCCTCATTTAAACCATACACACCAGGCATATGTGGTACACACATGTCATCTACACTGCCACAAAGTGCACAGAGGCACCTTCAGTTACACACACACACACGGATGTGAATAATCAAAACTTGCTTTTGTTAGGTAGAGGTGGAAGGGGAATGTGAGCATTTGGTAATGAAATCTGCAAGTTCAAGGTCACTAATGCTGTTTGCTACAGCCTGCTAATGCCAGTTTTATTAGAAAACCTTATGAGCATCCCCTTCGTTCCTATTTAATAATTCATGTACTGCAGGCTCACAAGAACACTCTTTGGCTTTAAGAGGCTGACAATACATCAAACCTCACTTGCTCTGCTCAAAGCACACAGTACCATCCCTCAGTTAGTGCAAGGTCAGAAAATCCCCTCTCTCAGGTTTGATCAGGCCCCATGCAAGCCTGGCAGCAGAAAACAGTTTTAATGCACCGCTGTGAAAGACAACAAATACCTACCATGGTTTGTTAGTGTTTCAGCTCTCTCCCTCCCTTTCTCCTTTTCCCTCCTCCTTGGTGTCTTTGCTAAGCACTGTTTTGCCTGACAGAACCTCTTCATAAGCCTCTCAGTCCCGTGACAGCTCAAGAGTTCATACAGCCAAGGTGCTCTGGGAGTCACTTTCTCTAATTCACCTGCAAAAAGAGAGAAACAACTTGAAATCAGCAGGAAAGGCATGTTGATTCCAGAAGTGCTGGATAGAGCACATGAGGCAAACCACTGCTCAAAGCACCCCAGCTTTCAGATGGGACAGTCACTGATCCATTTATATCTGAGCAAACAGATGTCACTGTGGAAAGCAACATTTTTGTGATGTGCCCACACACGTAACGACTTTCCCATGCCAGTTAGAGCTGATCCCAGGGAGGTTTGTCAGCCACCTGGCAATCCCAGCTTCTGGGGTGAGGAAGACAGGAAATCCAACAGGCAACCATGCTCCATGTGAAACCAGCTCACAAAGTCCGTTTTTGTGTTGCATGCACGTTAGGAATCAAACACACTACATTCAAATATCAGAAGGCAAGTCTCTGTGGAAATCCTCAGTGCAGTCCTCAATCCTGTGTCAGATGCTGCACAAGAACCAAGGCCTCAGGTTGCAATAACTGCAAGTTGTTATTTAAAGGCAGACAAGTACATTCTAACAAACTGCAGACGTCAGACTTGTGAGGAGCTGAAATGACCCACACCGCCTGTGCTGCCCATGCACTCCCTTTCCCAGCACAGCATGGAAAGGATCCTTCACGAGCACAAGCACCTAAACTGGGAAACAACACCAGCACTGGCACCATAAAACTGCAAGGAAATGCTCTGTGAGAGAGAAGAGCAGAAGAACAGAGCAGGTAATGTGAGAGAGGGAATGCATAAGCTCACTGCACAGCAAGACACTCCAGTCCGTGCAGAAAACTCCTGTTTTCCTTTCTCTACACATATTGTTGCATCAGCTCTTCAGCAACATTTTGAAGCAACTGGAAACCCAGTCAGTAAATTTCTGCAGATTGACATACACACACACAATGTTTCCTTTTCTCCTGTGTGCTGAACCCCTTCTCCAGCAACACTTTGCATATTGTGTGTCAGAGAAGCCTGACATTGTTAGAAATTAAAAGCATGTTTGGCAACAGCAGAGGGATAGGTGAGATGACTTGAAAGCTGAGGAGATACTTAAACCTGTGATGTGACAGGGAATAATTAAAATGTTGCATCCCACAGAGATTTGAATGTGACAGGGGAAAAGGTAACAGCAGATCCTGCTTCCCTATTTCCCTGGTTATGAACAAATTAATCAGGTTTACAGGACCAGTAGCTTTGGCAGCAAGAGCCTGATAGTTGTTTGTAAGTCACACCACTGAACTGAGGATGTAGAATTGGGTAAAACAAAAAGCCAGACAAGAACACTATGCAGGGACCTGTGTCTTGCAGCAGCTGTAAATTGCCAAGGAAGAAACCCCAAGAGAGTTAAGTGCAGTCAAACTAAAAATACTTGGGAAAAGCAAGCTAATGAAAATGCTGACTGACCCCTCTTCTCATCAGAGAGGCTCTATGCCCACCAAGGTGTATTAACACTACCAAACTGCCTCCCAGAAGCAATCAACAAAGTGGATGTTCTTTCTCTTAAGAGATCCTGGAAGTCAGACAGGGGCAGCTGGGAGGAAAACTAAGCAAAGATCACTGCTTTGGCAGTATTTATTTTGTGAACTAGTCATAAGCTCCTCCACACTCAACAGCCTTTCACCATCTCCAGAACCAGCCAGACTCTTTACAAGGTCGTTTTCCTTTTTAATAATATTAACTTGAGTCAGCAAATAGCAAACAAGAGAGACTTTTATGAGACACATTTCTAGATAATCTATTTCAAATTATTTCTCTCTCCAAACTGAATTACAGCTATCTTCACCTACTCTTCTTCCCTGTCACTCCCACATTTCACATTTTCAGTTTGTTAATCTTCTGTGTAACTTGGCAATTCCAGGCAGAGAGAAGGGCACTGGAATGTGTTGCTGACTTCAGCATATGCCCAGTACAATGTCTCCAGACTCCAGCAACACTCCAGGACGGCCTCCCTCTCAGGACTACTGCAAGCTGTTGCTTATCAGCTCACCCAGGCCGTGGCAAGCAGATGGCCAGAGATAGGTGTCTGAGCAAGTTCTGGTGCTCACTAAGAGCTGAGCAGGCTGCTGTCCAGAGGGCAGGTCTGCAAACACTCACTCCTGGAGGCAGCCCTGCCTGTGCCAGGTGCTTCTCAGGTTCCTGGAAAATCCAAAACAGGCTGGAAATGAATATGTCACAGCCACAATGGGGAAATCTCTGCTGGGCTGATGAAGTGAAAACACCAACACCTCTCCATACTCTGCCCTAGCAGTATACGGAGCAGTAACCTGCTTTCTTGTTTTCAAGACAAGTAAAGGTTGTTGGATGAAGATATTTATGAGCTCTTTACCTGCCCTTTTTTTCAGAGTGCTTGGCTGAAGTCAGGGCACAGACAGATGAATTACAAAGAGACCTTTATAATAAAATTCAGAAAGCTAGAAAAAAATCCTGAAAATTGAGTTGAAGCTGATACACGATGTCTTCCAAGTCATTAACATCCTACGGATATTTCAGAAACACGCATAGAAGTGAAACCCTAATTTAGTTCAGATTTAGAGAAAACATTTTCAACAAAAGCACTAAACAGGAGGGATTTTACTATAAAAGTGCAGACACAATATACAGAATAAAGTACATTTGACAGCACGCAGAATTAAATTAAGGAAAACCAAAATCAAATCTGCTCCAACCATATGGACTAAGGCAGCATAACATAGCTCAGCACCAAATACATCAGAAACCATTATGTGAAGTGAGCAGCAATCCCATAAATCCAACAGTCTCATTCCACTACCAGATTATAGCAGGATATTTGCTTCTGCATCCTCTGGGAAGTATCAGTTGATGCTCAGGCTAAAAAGCACAATATTTAAATGTGTGGCTGTCTTACCTAGGGGCAGCCACCCACACTTGCAAGGAAACTAGTACAGGAAGCTCCTCGCACCACTGAGACCTTGATGACCTTGAAAAAATCACTTCTGCTCTGCATCATGTGCCCCTAAAGTGTAAAACCAGAGTAAATAATCTCTGTCTTCAAACCAGGTCACAGTGGAGCCGTGCAGAGTCTGCAGTGTGGTTTAAAATCACTGGGGATTTGACACATTAGAAATGTTATTAAAACACCATGACAGTGTAGAAACATTTCCATTAAACATCCCATCCTTCACAGAGGAAGTTTATGCTTTGGCTCAAGACAAGCAAAAAGAATTTCAGATGAGGCTTTTGTAGCAGGAGATATTCCTGCATCTGCAGCTGCATTCCCAGGGGACAGACAGTTAAACAGCCAGGGGTGATGAATATGCTCAGCTACCTCCAAGTGCCTGTGAACAAGGAAAAGGCAGGAGAAACAGGTACTTGCATTCCATGGAAACTGAAATACCAGAATTAGGGTGCTCTGAGCCTCTAGAAAGGAGACATGAACTGTGTCTGGCACCCCAGTATCCCCTTGCAGGAGCGCCTTGCACGAAAGTGTTACTGGTGCAACAGAGAAGAGAAAACTGGGGTCACTGGACACCAGAGCTCCAAACCCCTCACTTCAGTGAGCTGCTTTCCAGGCTCCTGGCCAGGCCAAGTAGAACACCATGAAAATTGGTTTTAAATGCTCCATCAAGAAGGCACACGCTAAAAATATTCAGCTGAAGCATTAAAAACACCCTCCACCTTCCAAATCTACCCTGACACCAGTACTTGCACAGGAGAACTGCAATTTGCAGTGTGCAGCACCCCAAGAGCAGACAGAGTTTATACTGACAGGGCAGCAAGAACAACAGAGGTTGCTAATAACAAAGCAATGAGTATCTAACACAGCTCGAGGTGTATCACACACAGTAATAGAAAATAACTGGAATTTATACCGGTTTTTGTTACCTTCAAAAGTCAGAGTGAGAGGCTTGCAACTTCAAACTGGAAGTTTATTTTAGCCTCTGCTTTGCATTCAGGAGACAGGTAATTTTTCATCACACCACACAAAGTGCTGCTGAAAATATGTTGTGTTTTTCTGCAGTATAATTTTATTGCTGGCCTTCTGCCAAGAGTCTTTCTGGCAGCATCTCCCACAGTTGGAAACTGTGTATCTGGGTCAGAAAAGACAAGCCGCTTTTCAGAACAGCTCAATACATTTGGCAGAGATGCTGATATTGTAATTGAACTCTTTCAGCAACTCTCTTTATGATGTACCCAGACACCAAACAAAACAAGATCTGCAGTGTTGATTAATGTCAAAATAACTGACAGAGAAATATCAAAATAGTTTTCCCTCACGTTAAAAATATCAACAGACCGGGGGGAACAGATAAGAAATACAATTCATAAGGATTCAGAGAGGAGCACAGGGCAGAGAAATCTGCAAAATATGATTGACCTGTGCCTTGTGCAGATATTCACTACTTAAAATCCCAGCTCCTTGTATGGAACTTCCCCTTCCCCACACAAAGAGAAATCCTGGCCACCCAGAGCCCCAGCAGCATTGTGGACAGCAGTGCCCTGTAACACTGGGACACATATTTAACAAGGCTCAGACTGCTTCCAACAGTATGCTCAGCATCCAATTTCACCTGGAGACAGTGTATCCATAGGAGTTTTATTATTTTCCATGTAATGCATTTCCTGACAAAGTTGCATCTGGGATAACCTTTAGAAGGCTGGAATTTTCCATCCAAATGAATAATTACAAAGCAACACTATAGTTAGAAGCTGAAAAGGTACTACCTCTGGCAAAGTCTTACACTTCACACAACAAATACTGGAGTCTGGGATTACTCCTGCCTGTTCAGTTCTCATAATATTTCAGTCAAAGGCTCCTGTGTTCAGAGAGCTCTTGGAAGCAGGCAGCCCCCACACCCAGCTCTAAGTGCCAAAGACAGGGTAGGTACAAACTTGATAACCAGACCTGGAGCCACAGCACATGTAACCATCAGAACAGAGAAATCAAAGTCACCTTCCAGGCTCCAGAGCCCTGACAAGGCTCACGGTGCAAGGAGCACAGCTGCCCACTTGTCAGCGAGCAGGAAGCTGCTGGAGAGCTCCTGGAGAGAATCCATCTGTGCCA